TCGATTGAAGTCGATAGCCTGGGCCCCACCTTTCATCAGCTTTTTAATTTGTTTTTTAATTCAAAGAATGTTACTGAGCAATAAAATCTCCGTCGAATCGGTCAATAATAATGTCATAAGCAAAGATCCTGATCAGTACGCGTGCAATGCTCTGTGGACGATACTTCAAGTAATACACTAGCGACAGATAGAGCTGTGAGCCTCACGGCGGCAACGGCGGTGAAGTTAATTTGCTTAAGGTAAATGACCGCAGTGCGCATCCTCAATGAACACGTTTCGAAGCGCTACCCAAATCCTAAGAAAATATGAGGTATAAAACTTAACAGTAATTAGTAGGCAAATCGGTTCCGTGTATGTGTGCGTGTGTGTCATTGGAGCTTTACGATGCACTCAGCTGCTGAGGCTACATGGCGTCACTTGCCTCTCACCCTGGCAGGGAGGGCGGGCACTGCGGGGAATCGAACCCGGAACCTCTGGTTTCCCAGACGCGCAGTGGTTACCGCAGACGCGTTAACCACTACACTACCTACACAAACGACTACACTATCGTGGTTTCCCAGCTGAATCTACGAGAGGCCAGTGCAATCAAACTGACCCAACATCAGCCCGATGTTCTGGTAACCATTTCCCACCCAAGCATTACTGAACAATGGTGAGCTTACAGACCGAAGAATTTCGTTCACATGTCACCGGATTGCGTAGCTCAGAGGCAACCCCTGGAAAACGCAGCAATGAACAAGGCCGTTACAATTGACAGACCGCTGTAAGAAATGCATCGATCTCAACGCTGCCGCCATGATTCGCCCGTTTCTAGCGATGAACTGCAGCGACAGACGCTTCACTGAGCTGACGGTCCTGACTCCCTCAACACCGTAGTAGTAGTAATTGTGGCTTTAGGGTGCCTCAACTGCGTGGTCATTTAGCGCCCATGAGTCCCTCAACAGAAAATATCTCAATCAAATCCTTTAATACAACAGACAGTACAACCATGCGAACCGCTGAAACTCCCACGACTGCTTACTCGCGGACAGGCCTGCAAACTGGCCGCAAATGCAATTGATGGAGCTCAATCAAGCTTCAAACTCGAAGCCATTAGCTGGCATGGTATTCCAATCGTAGAGGCAAGACCGCTACACTCTAAATAAAATCTTTTAAAAACGATCGCAGATCCTTACCCTGACTTTGGGTCAGTGATCTGCTGCCAGACGCAGCTCATCTTTTGTTAGAAATTTTTAAAAAAACAACCACAGTTGTCTTGAATGTTTCAAGACGGCCAGTACAAAGTTGACAAGATATCGCATTGACTGTAAACACTTAAAGGACTAGCCCAATGCACAGGGCGTTAGGCAGGACAGGCGAGAGCGTCTCACTCGTAATTAGCTATCCAACGACAGACCTCGCGTGGTTTAAACGGATCAGTTCGATATTCTGAAAGCAATTCACCACTTCAATTGCAGATCACAACAAAATGGTAATGCCGACATCAGCGAATATAGAGCGTAATGACAGGCTGTCAGTAACACGTCTGCGGACAGAATCGGTAAGCTAGGGCAAACCTCCCTTGCTGCACGATATTGGTGCGTGAAAGCGATTTCAGATCAGTTTGAAAAATACCTTTGTATAGCAGAACAGATGATGTTTTTTTAAAACCAAAAACTTTTTGAACACCAGGAACAACCGATAACACGTCATGCGAAAGGCGTGCATAAGGCACTGATCCGCGAAGTCTGATCACAGTTCTCGGCAGATATGCATTTTAAAATCTCAGGGCTGCGTCCAATCAGCGCGTATAAATATCATAATAAAAAACATTGGTACAAAAGGCGGCCCTAATACGCAAGTTGACTTAAGTTGTGCGACACGGCATACTGATTATCACAAACTGGGAGGCCAGTTCAGATATCGCCATTGACCCATTTCAGATAATGCCAGTCCAGATAAGGCTAGTTCAAATCAGGCTAGTTCAGATAAAGCCAGCTCAGTTAAGATCAGATAAGTTGATGTCCCCTGCTGTTTTCCCTTAGCTGCGAAATAAAAAATCAGTTTTTGCACTCATCACACCTATATCACCATTCTGTAACCTAGCACCACGCCTAAGCAATACAGTTAAGCCGCTTATTTTGTTTCATAATGTCCCTTTTTGTTTTTTGTTTTCGTTTTGTTTTTTGTTTGCCCACGTCGAAGCTTTTCCTGATCGAAAGAGGCATTGCAAATGCACGGCGAACAAGCGGTAATAGATGGAGCAATATTGCAGCCACTCACAATTACGTTTACGCCAGTACATGTCGCGCAATGACAGCGGCCTGCGCGGGTGCTGCGCGCCTGATCAGACGGCCTCCCCGCTATAACGGCATCTGGTCACTGAGACCCGTGGCTGGCGCCGCGGCAGACCCCCTGCCTGGAGAAGCGCTGCGTACATGCGGCTTAGAGCGGCGTCAGTGCAGACAAGGCGTCAGATAGGTGCGCTGACTGGTTGGCAGTCCTGCCTTAACCAATGCCATGGTATCAAATATGGAATGACGCGGCCATCACTGAATGTAACTGACGCAGCCATCACTGACTGTAACTGACGCGGCCATCTTTGAGTGTAACTGACGCGGCCATCTTTGACTGTAACTGACGCGGCCATCACTGACTGTAACTGACGCAGCCATCTTTGACTGTAACTGACGCGGCCATCACTGACTGCAACTGACGTGACCATCACCGACTGCAACTGACGCGACCATATTTGACTGTAACTGACGCGGCCATCTTTGACTGCAGCTGACGCGGTCATCACTGACTGCAACTGACGCGACCATCACCGACTGCAACTCACGCAACCCTCACAGACTGTAACTGACGCGGCCATCTTTGACGGTAACTGACGCGGCCATCACTGACTGCAGCTGACGCGGCCATCACTGACTGTAAGTGACGCGCTCATCGCTGCCAGTGAATGACGCGGCCATTACTGGCATGACATGACAGACCATAACAGCTGTGACGACCGCTACGTCACCGCCGCCTGAACACGTCGTGAGTGCGCGCGACCGGTCCATGGTCACCGCCGACTGTATCGACAGCCCATGGCCACCGCCAGCTGTTACGACCGGTCTGCAGCGTCAGTGGTGACGCTGCAGACCGGTCAGCGTTAGCTGTGACGACCGGCCACTGCAAATTCATCGGTCAGCTAACGATACCGAGTTCGCGATGTCCCGTTGCCCTTCGCTTCATTCCACCAATATCGAAATGTGGACGCGAAATGGCACCGATGCCGACAAACCCTAAAACACCAAATTACCGACAAATCACCACCCAAATTGAAAACAGCATGTGAGAACTAGGGCTTGATTTTCGCGTGATTTCACGTGGGATTCGGAGCGTAAGTCGAGTCCCTCTCGGCAGGAAGCTCAGTGCTGGATCAAGCGACGCGGCGCGACACTCGTCACGCTCACCGCCTGCCGTAAGAAGCTAGCAGAAGCCATCACCAATTGTGACAGTCTGCCCGTGACAGTTACAGACTTTGACGGCTGGCCCGCCACCATATCAACACCACAGTCCGTCAAATAACACCATCAGCTGTAGCCTCCGGCGTGTGATACCTAGCTCGTCGCCAGCCCCAGCTGGCACAGCCCGTCCAAGCCGCCACATCCGCACCTGCCATTGGTCGCCCGTGAGCACTGCTAGCACGGGCACCGTGACGGTCTTCTGTCACTGTCGAGGAATGTGACAGCCGTGGACGTCCAAAGTTTTACGTTAGTGCAAGGTTTTAATCCCCGTCAAGCCAATCCAACTATTCCGCAAAATTATATCGGATAAATGCATTTCAAATACTCAAACAATACACTAAAAAGACTTGATTCTTCCTCTAAGTTAGCAGAACCATGTGCTACGAACAGTCTCCACGCCACAAGTGTTCAGAATATCATGTCATCCTGTCGCTTCCGTCCGGTGTTGGCAGTGGCTGGCCGCTCGTTGAGCGGCGGCTGGCTTGTCCTGGCCGACGTCGTCTAAGATCTGGCCCCGGCCGCCGACGGTTCGCGTCGACCGAACCTATCCAAGCCTATCTCCTTCGCCCCTGACCCCCGAACCCCTGCCTGTCGGCTGCCTAACGCCACATTGGCGTCTCCCCTCCCCCCCTTCGCAATGCGATATTTGCTCAGCGGCAGCGATTTTGCGTCAACAGCACCACCCCCTGGCGTTGGATTCTCCAGCGAATAGAACTTGATGTTCCGGGTCCGCAGAACCCTTCGCTCTCATTGGTCAAATTTTATGCCCTGGGGCGCGCGCGCGCGCGCGTCCCCCCGACGCCGGTTTGCAGTGGCGCACACAGACACGGCCATGAGGCGCACGCCATTGATGCTAAATATTATTATTTTCGTTCTTTATGAGAACAAAAGGTGAGGACACTACTCAACTCTGACGCTACTCGATGCCTGGAGTTGTGATCCAACAAGAAAGTCGACTTTATTGTCACCTGCCTGCGCCCCTGCCGGTCGGCGCACCTCCATTTAAACAGAAAGCCCAACGTGCGGCAAATATCTGCCTATGATGCTTACAGCATGACACGTATATACCGAAGGCAAACACGGGCACTTGGAACTTGCCATCTTGCGCGTCAGTGCAGTTCAAACTGCCGGCAAACCGTTACCTCGGGGCGAACGGCGACAGCCTCTCGCTGCCTGACAAGCAGCCGAAGCAACGGCTCGGGCCGCGCGGCCGACAGCGAGACGAAGATCGCTTTATGACCATACGCCGTCCAAGTGTATCCAGACGGGGAATACTGAGATAGGTTTGTGCAGAAAAACTGTCGGAGCCGTCACGCTCCCATCGAAAATGTTCCCATTGGTCTCCGGTTATTACAGCAGTATCAAATTCATTGGGAGTCGGTGCCATACAGACGGTTGGCCGTTGCAGGCGGCAGACCACCATGCGCCATGTGCCGCACAATCGCCGCAAAACGGTGATTGTGTGGTTGCGCCGTCATGCGGTTGTTGGAAACGGTTTGAGCTTACCTCCTCAGAGCTGGGCCAAGCAAGCCGGCGATGTCCGAAGTTGGAGAGAGCGGTTGGTCAGCAGTCGGCAGTCGGCGGTCTGCGGCAAGAAAGGGGCACCATGTGAACGGCTGGCGGCGTCACGGAACGGCACGGAACAACCGGCCGCCCGGCTGACGACCTTACGCACCTAAGAACACATCAGAGTTAGCCGGCTCCCTCTCACCTACCTCGTAAAGACACTTGCCAGTGCTCGACAACTCTTCCAGATGCTTGGAGGTCTGCGACAGACGTAGGGTCACTCCGCAATCGGCTCCCTCTTGGGAATGTTTCGGGTCCGTCGCGAGCCCACGGACCACGCCCGGAGACGCCTCAAGTCCAGGGGGAGCGGGTAGATAACGGCACCCTCACCCCCGCTTTTGCCCTGCGGCCAGGTCCAGTCCCCCTTCCGCCACCGCATGGCGGCTAAAAAGGGCAGGCTCACAACAGCCAGCCAGTGGTCGGCAGGTCGTTGTTGCCCGTGGTGTCGGACATTGCCGCATTGGGGACAGCAGGCATGGACAGGCGCGCACATTCCGCGTCTCAAAGGCGGCGAAAGTGCGGATGCTCAAACTCGGCATTTGACTTTGCTTTCGTACTCGTCTAGTTTGATATATAAATTCCGTGCTATAGATTAGATACACGTCCATCCAGTAGCTCAGTTACTTAAGACACCTATTGCCTGATTCACTGACGTGGGCTGTATTCGACTCGTTTTAAACGCTCGCTGCGCGGTAGGTTCGACTCCCTTTAACCGCTCGCCACGCGGTGAATTCGACTCGCTTGAACGACCGCTATTTGCCCTTGACTGAGGTGGCGGCGGCCATGCCAAAGGTCGGGGGATGTCGGAAGGCACGACGGGCTGTGCTGTCCAGTACGGTACTTCAAACTTCCCTCAAAAGATTCTGTCTATGACCCGGATTTCACATCGCAAGGTGGGATAAGGCTGGCATAACAAGCAGCGGTTAGTGCAGACGCTAGCCTAAAAAATCCATACAATCAAGGTGTTTGGACCGGCCATATTTTTCATGAATGATATTTAGGTGCTTTCTTACTCAAATTCGGGTGCACGTGTGGCTGACCTGATGTATTTACAAAAGTTGCAAAACTGCAATACGGACTGAGGGCACACCACCGTTACCACCATACCACCGTTGGAGAAAAAATACCACCGTCGGAGATTACCGCTGGAAATCAGCGGTTCTTGAACGATTAGTATAGATTACACAGCTCACCGATTTTCTTCAATGTGAGGCCGTATTGTAGCGGCGGCAATGGCCTGATCTGCAGAACATTCTTGGCAAGTTGTTCCAGTCTCGTCGCCACTTACGTCACGTTTGTGCTATATACGTACAACACTTTCGTAGATACATCACCTAAGCTGGCTGATATGAGGCCACGCCATCAGAAACAGGGTCCATTGCATCCTTACCGGCAATGCGTTGAGACAAGACTGCGCCTCAATTCGTGGCGGATATCCTCTGCCTTACTCAGCATCAACCGTATATCACAAGCTTCAGGCCGGCTCCACCCGTATATCACAAGCTTCAGGCCTGCTCCACCCGTATATCATGCGCTTCAGGCCAGCTCCACCCACATATCACAAGCTTCAGGCCGGCTCCATCCGTACATCACAAGCTTCAGGCTGGCTTCTTCCGTATGTCACGAGCTTCAGGCCGGCTCCTTCCGCATGTCACGAGCTTCAGGCCGGCTCCACCCGTATATCACGAGCTTCAGGCCGGCTCCACCCGTATATCACGACCTTCAGGCCGGCTCCACCCGTATGTCACGACCTTCAGGCCGGCTCCACCCGTATGTCACGACCTTCAGGCCAGCTCCACCCATATATCACAAGCTTTAGGCCGGCTCTACCCGTATATCACAAGCTGCAGGCCGGCTCCACCCGTATGTCACGAGCTTCAGGCCGGCTCCACCTGTATGTCACGACCTTCAGGCCAGTTCCATCCATATATCACAAGCTTCAGGCCGGCTCCACCCGTATGTCACGACCTTCAGGCCGGCTCCACCCGTATGTCACGAGCTTCAGGCCAGTTCCACCCATATATCACAAGCTTCAGGCCGGCTCCACCCGTATGTCACGACCTTCAGGCCGGCTCCACCCGTATGTCACGAGCTTCAGGCCAGTTCCACCCATATATCACAAGCTTCAGGCCGGCTCCACCCGTATGACACGACCTTCAGGCCGGCTCCACCCGTATGTCACGATCTTCAGGGCTGCTCCACCCATTGGTCATGAGCTTCAGGACGGCGTCATTTGTCGGTTACCTGCCCTTGTGTCAAACGTCGTCTTTATTACCTCCCCTCAGGTCATTTTTAAGGGCTGTAATCCTGACTGTCCTGCCTGCATCTAACCCTAATAGCTTAAACGCTGTGATGCGTGCCCTCCTCTCACGCTGGTTGCCATGAACATGGGCATTTTCCGTTCTTCGTTATTCCGTTACGTTACGGAGCTACCTTATCAATAATGGAGTGGTAAACTCGTCGGTTTATAGAACATGTGACAGATTGAGTAATTTCCGTGACGTGTGTAGCCCGTTAGATGTTAAAATTTCTCCCAATTCATAAACCACTCTGTTGATTTTGGTCTAGGCATGCACCCACGTGGTTAGTTTAACGCGCCGCGCTTGGGTACAGGCGGTCAATTTGACCCCCTTGAGTCAAAAATAAGACAGCCAGGAACACCAGTTTCACAGAGTAGGGAGTGTTCTATTTCAAATCACTTTGCCAGATTTTGAGGCTCCTAGCTTGTGATTTTGAGGTCAAATAAGGCCAACAATGTCCACCTCCATATCGGTGCCCGAAGTATTCTAAGACTTCACACTACAGATAAATCATCCGAGATTATTTTGAGCTTTTAGTTTACATTCAACACCGAGCACTGCCATGGGCGGTATGCCCCACAAAGTTAATGTTGATCGAAGTAATTTTGAATAAGTATTCTTTCGCCATGCGGTATCCTTCCCCATGAACGGCATCACCGAAATCGTTCATGGTTCCCATTTTATGAACCCTGGTAGGACTTCAGTCCATGTGTGAATAGACCCCGCTCGTTCAACGACAACGTGGAGGAGCATAGTAAATATACTCCCAATCTTTGCAGTTCATGAAATGAAGACTCAGGTTGAGACAGCTCCGCGATGGCTGGATTGAAATGGCTGCCCAGCAAACCAGCACTCGTCAATCCGAGCAGGCCGCCGTAGTGGTACACATACCGGTCAAAAGATGGCGCCATTGTAGCGACGGCGGGTCCTTTTAAAAGGTGTGAGGGTGGTGTGTTTTCTTCATGCTTCTGTACGTGTAACACGACAGGTTTACTGTGATATTGTTCTGGGAGATGGGGAGGATACCGCTGGTTCCCCTCTTTGCATCCGACGTCACTATACCTATGTGACTTGTCAACAACCGTGACGTTTCGCTTTTTTGTCCATTTTCCTCCCCTCTCGCCCTGCTTACGTGCCGGTTACGCTGGGCGCCATCCCCCTCGCCTAACTGTGCAAGCAAATATTAATTGTTTCAGCATGATTTGCAGCCACACCTGGGCGTAACATCACGTTGTTCCACACCTTCATTTGCTTTGGTCACCGTCTACCAAGCCCCTCCCTACTCAGCGCAAAGCAATTCATGGACAGCCACTATGCCTACACGTAGCACTAACGCCGTCATAGCTGCAGCTCTGCATAGCTTGATGGTAGCGGTTGAGAACATTCCATAACAGAGGCGGGATCTCCACGGTCCCTGGTCATGGTGGGTTTGTCACGCATGAAACGGAGGAACTGCTGGGCGCGATAATTGTAGTGGGAACTCCCGGCTGCCCGCGGCCGCCACCAGCCGCCGCCGCCGCCGCCGCCGCCGCCGCCCCGCCGCCACCCGCCGCCACCACCCGCGGCCGCCACCAGCCGCCGCCACCCGCCGCCGCCACCGCCGCCGCCGCCGCACTCGCTGCCGCCGCCGCCGCCGCCGCCACTCGCCGCCGCCACCCGCCGCCGCCGCCGCCGCCGCCGCCGCCGCCGCGGGTGCCCAGTGCGGGGCCGCTCCTAGTCCGGCCCGGCTGCTGATGTCAGCCTGCCCGGCAAGCACGGAAGCAGAGATGTGTGGACACGCATCTTGTGTTCACATGCTCATGTACAGCGGTGCATTCACTATCATAGGCCGACTCGTTTTCCGATAACTTGCGTCGCATCGTCTGTTCATGGAGTTGATGGGTGGCCGCACACTTCCTCCCTCTTAAGACTCCCTGGACGACGGGCGTCGGTTTGCATTCTTTCGTGCAGGACCACCTACCCTCCCCCCTCTCCATTGTTGATTTGGGCGCCCAGTTTTATTCTAAAATGCCACGAAGCGTTATGAAAACTAAATATAAAATTGTTTATGGTCTTGGCATTATTCCGCAGCAATGACTGTTATGCAGCTCAAATAAAGAGCTATTTGATAACTGATTCAGTCAATTCCAATGTTGATGTTGTTTTTTGAACGCACCCAAATTATTGTGAAGTAGATTGTTCCTTACCCTGATTCAGTGTTTTTCATAACGCAGACGAATAGGGGGCCAGCGTGACCGTTACCCCGGCGTTTCCACACTATTAATAATAAAAGGGCCTCGCAAAAAAAGCAACAACAATGGCGTGGTCTCGACAAGATGCTCCATTGGTTATGAATATTAAGCTGCTGGCTCACTAATTAACACCAATGTGCACGACAACAGGGAAAAAGTTTCCTTAAAATCCAATACTTCAGATGTGCTTGCCAATATTCATGACATAATGCCCGAAAGCAGCCCAACGTCTACCCAGAAGTGTTTTTTTCTTGTGTAATGGTGTAATTTTTATTATTATGGAACCTGACTGCTTTAATTTAACGAAGGAACACGCGCCCGGGCGGCCGGCTGGATGCCCCTCGCTCGGGTGAGGGGTCAATTTGGCCCCACTGAGATATCAGGAACTAAGAAAGCTAGAGACATGAAACTCACAGGGTTTATTGACCTGTACGTGAACTCAATTAGGTCAAAGTTTGAGGCTCCTAGGTCACAATCTTCGGGTCAAG